GGATTCCAATACCTGGGTCTTATTCTGATATTCAGTCACCAGAAATTCAGCCTCTCTTGCTTGTTCACCTGCCAGGTTGAGGAAACAGATTTACAGCAGCAGTGTAGGAGCAAAATGCTGCTAGGGCTGTCTTACAAGCATGCAGGAAGGTTGTTTTTTTTTAACTTTTTTAAGGGTATAATAGCACCATTGAGAGTGGTCTCTCAACCTAATTTCAGCCTCATCCTCAAAAGGATATAAATGGTTTCTTCCAAATCCTCCAAGTCCCACTCAATGCTGCGCAAGGTGTTGCGTAATTCATTTGTAGTCCAGTTCAGCTCCTCCTTGTTCACAATTTGGGTCTCCTGGAGCAGCTGGCCCCAACGTTGATAAAGCCCCTGGGCTGTATTCACTGCTTTCTGAACTTCTCTGCAGAGTCAAAGGAAAGATAGCAGCTGTAAGGGATGGAGGAAGCAACACAAGGCACCTGGGACCAGGAGAAGGCGCTGTTTGCAGCACCCCTCCTAAGGTGACCTGACAGGGTATGTTACAATGCCTTTGGTTTTGCCCTGCTGGTGACAAGTCTAGAAAATGAACTCTTAGACTTGATTGACAGGTCTTATGCAGGCAAAAATGAATCACTAATGCAGTTCTTATCGGTCTGATGGCAAGTCAACCAAGACCGATTTTATTCCTTTGAGATAACCGCTACAGCTCCGAAGCAAGGCAGCCATTCAGCATAAGCAAATTTCTTAGGGCAGAAAACGTACATGAGAACGTCAAAGAAACAGCAGTGTATGTCAGCATCCAATTTATTTGGGTCAACTGATACTTGTAAGAGATCAAGGCAGTTGCACTAGAAGAAGGTGCTGTTTCTTTGCCTGGAGGTCCATGAAACCATTCTCCCCTAAGAAAACATGATCACAAACGAAAAAGATCCAGCTGAATGACATAAATGGAGAGATATACTGAGCCATACCTAGATCTAAAGGGAGGGCAATAAACGACTACGGGGTTCTTCCCCATCCCATTTGTGTGTGAGAGCAAACAGAACTAAATAGCATTCCTGCATCACGGCACTCCACAGCCAATTTTAGCCTTTGGCAGATCCCTGACACAAAACGAACAGAGTATACATAGCTTTATTCTGACCACGTGCGTTCAGACGGCTCTATTAATACATTAAAATACAGATCTAAGCATATCTGCAGCATAACTAACTCCAAAGAGCTGCTACGATCTGAAATAGCGAGGAACAAAATAACGAAATTTCTCCGATTTATACAAAGTAACTCTCCTTGTTGCCTATTTCGTACTGTGCAAAAAATTCACACTCGACCGATCTCTGCCTCAGGACGCGTTTCTGCATTAGAGAAAGGGTGCTCAGACTTCGTCCACCAACATTTTTGTTTCCTTCCACTTCCTAAATCGGTAGCATTTCGGAACAGCCCGCGAGGGCCGTTATTTCTCAAAGTTGGGTTTCTTTTTCAAGCCTACAGCCCCGCACACAGCAGTCCCCTTTGATTTATGGGGAAGGTCCTTAGAAAAGGTTGTTTTAACTATTTGAACGGGATTTCCCATCAGAGGTGGGGAAATTTCTCAACTGGCTTTCTGCCTTTAGATTCTCGGATTACCCGATCTTTTCACACTCTCCACACCCCCGCGTGGTTTCAACCGGCTCTTTTCGTGGCTTTTTTTTTTTCCAGAGGGAAGGCTTGTTTGTTTCAAAGTATCTCCCCCACCGGGGACTGCCACTCACCCTTTCACCACGAAGAACGGGTCCTCCAGAGACATCCTTGAGCCTTCAAGTCGCCTTCAAGTCCAGACGACCGATAGAAACGTGTATGGGGTTTGAAAGCACAGACATCTATGGAGGAAATGTTTCCTTGTCTCCCCCCACCTCCCCTCACTGAACTGAAGCCACCAAGGCAGCCATGTTTATTACGGGTCCCTCTTTCACAACCCTGTATTTCCCTTGGGCTTTTCTTTCTTTTCTTTTTTCTTTTAATACGGAAAGGGGACCCGCCTTTTCTAGGGAGGAGCCAAAATAGGGAAGAGAGGTGAGTAGGCGGGTTGAAGAAAAAAAAAGAAGAAATCTCCCCTGGAATTTCCTAGCTTCCGTGCAGTCTTTTTTTGTTGTTGTTGAGGGGGAGGGGTGTTTCTGCTTTCCTTTCTTTCCACTCCCACATTTCCTAAAGAAGGAAGGCTTGGCCTGAGTCTTCGCGGCTTTGCTTACACAAATTGATTTCTTTTAGCCGCCTCTCGTTTGAGAGCTTCACTTTTTCAGGTTTTCCACCCCAATTCGCAAGGCTTTTCGGATAGCCCTGAGTCGCCCGGCAAAATCACTGAAGCTGCTTCAGAGTCGACTGCGTAGTTTTAGTTCTTAAGTTTCACTGTAAGCTTTTGAGAGAATCTCGATATTGGTCATTATGCGCAAAGAAGAAAACGAGACCGTATTTTAACTACAGGATAAAGGAGCGTAGAAGACACGGGGCTTCGTATTTTTAAACGTTACCACCGTCTACCCTAAATAAATAATTGGCATGGCGAAAGCTCGTGTCCTGGAAGGGACCCAAGAGGGAGGGGAAGAGTAGAAAGACTTCGTGGGCCGAGTTTGGAGATGACGCAATAAGGAGGCACAGGCAGAGCCTTGCCAGACGAGAAACCGGTCTGGCTAAACCCAGAAACTAATTATTTCTTACATAGGTGCCAAAAAGCTCCTTAAGCCCAAATCTGTTCGGTTGTCTAATGATTTGTTCCAGATTTGTTTTATCTGACCTTCATTGATGTTTACATTTTCAGAAGCTGAAAATTTGTAAACATTTTCTTGCTCATTTCCCCCCAGCCATTTTGGGCAAGCCATGATCCCAATATAAACATTCCTGGGTAGTTAATAAAATCCAATTTACACGTCTGAAAACTCCGGAGTAGTCTATCCGGCCATAATAATTTCGTCTGCGTCCACGATCTCTTTATCTTCATCCAATTTTTCGTGCTTTTTATCATTTTGGAAGCCGTCCAGAGTCGCTCTAGTAGCAATATGGGCGGTGTATAAGTTTAATAAACTTAAAAAGCTTGCAACGGGGTTACGTCAGCCAAATTTTTATTTGACCTGCCGTTTCTGGATCAAGACCAAAATGTGACTTGCATGCAAAGTGTAGCATATACGTTTCGGTGTAAAATAACTTCCTGGTGTACCTTGAGCCTCGGTGAAACAGGAAAGTAATAAATTTAGACCGCGTGCGAGTTTTGTGATAAGGATTTACACAGCCACACCCGAGTATATGATCAGATGAAATTACAGTATTGGAAAGGCGGCAGTAATTTGGAAGACTAAAAGAGAGGAAAAAACGGTTTAGGTTTGGTACGATATCCATACTTGGCATTTACATAGAGAAACTGCTTATAAACGGAGATTATGCGACGCGAGATATAAAATGTAGTCTGAAAGTAGCAGAATTCAGGAGGATATACGCCACCTAAGCATAAAGTATTCTATTACCCCCGAGGCCCGTTATACGTAGACGGATTGGCTGACAAGGCAGATGGCTCCCTCGGTGAAGGCCCGGAAGCTCAGTGGAGACTTTCGCCGCGTTACCCATTTATGGACATAGGAAGCAGGGCTGCTGCTGCGGCTGCTGCTACAAACGTAAGCGCTTTGGAAACGCTGGGGAACGTAGCCTCGGCTCCTCCCCCTGCCTTGTCGTCAGGCTCCAATAATACATGCAATAACCATGGAGGCGAGAGGGAAGGGTAACCTAAATAGAGGGAGGAGCCCAGCTCTGGGATTACTGTAGCATGAATAGGGAGCTAGGGGCGAGGGTGCCTTCCGTTGTGCTGATTGGGGGAGGCTGGTTAAAAGACAAATGTGTTTTCCCGACCAGTAAAAAAGATTTGCGTGAATATGGGAATATTCTCTCCAAACCACCACCACCCCTTGTAGTAAAACACAGCAGTTAAGAAGCAGGCAGCCATAAACGCAGGTGAATGGGAGAGAATATAAGTATGCAAATAGAGGCGAAGCCCCGTTGAAGGTCTCCCTTTGGCTTCTCTGGAAATTACAGAATGCTGCGCCACTTTGATCAGAACTGCCAGACTGAATAACCCTGCAAGGGAATTTACTCCCAAATCAGGTTTGTTGTGTAGGTTTGGTTGATGACAACAGGATTTCAAAACTCTGGGTGACCGGAGCAGCTGTAGGGAGAAGCAACTGGAATCAGCATGCAACTCAGGAAAAAGGAACCCATTTCTTTCAAGTGCTGCTTTGGGGGAAGCGAAGGAGCCCCAAATCCTGTTTTTTTCCCCTGACTGGGCATCTAGAGCAAAAAAACCACATCGATAACCTCAAGGGCAACATCTTACTCTTATTTCAAATCTTTTTTGAAACCTTTGAAACAGTTTGAAGCCTGAAAGATGCTAGACTGCAAACAGAAACACTCAATTTTTAAATATTAATGTCCAGAAGAGCAAAATAATCTTGAACAATCTTGAACAACGAGTGGGAGCACGTGGCCTTCAGGCAGTGAACTACAACTTCTCAAATAGTTCACCTTGCAGATGTCTGAAAACCGCCCTGTTTTCCCAGAGTAAATCTTGCACTCCACCACATCTCATTCAGAATTCATAAAGGGTACTCCATTCCCAAGTAAACGAACAAATTTATTCTGAAGCTAAGTAATCGGCAGCTAGCCACTGCTTGCCCGCTCCGCTTACACAACCAGCTGTTCATTTTTTCTGAGCTCTGCTATACGCCACTTCAGCGGGGAGCCCAACTTCCAGTTCTTTGCTTAGCAGAAGGAAGCCCGCCGTCCGCTATCCTCGTCTCCTGGCGACACCCCCATTTGTTCATTTTCTTCTCCCGCCCTGACATTTCCGCCTGCCCTTCCCCCTTTCAGGAAGGGCGGCCAGTGGCGCGCAGTTACAAGGCCGGATGCGGCTCGCAGAGTGGGCGGAGGCGGCCCAGGCGCTGAGATCACCGGGAGTATAAAATGCAACGCGCTGGGCGCGGCTCCGCTTAGTCGGAACGGACGTCTCCGTGGCGCTTTGTCCGGGAGGTGTCTGCTGGGAAGAAACAGCCGGAGGCGCGCCACTTTCCCTTTTGGAGGAGGGGGGAGAAAGCCCAGGCGTTTCTCTTCCGACACCGAAGAGCTTCAGAAGGGTCCAAAGGGAAGCCCGGAGAGCGCCCGCCAACATGGAGGTGCAGAAAGAAGCGCAGCGTATTATGACGATGTCGGTGTGGAAGATGTATCACTCGCGCATGCAGCGCGGCGGCCTCCGACTCCACCGCAGCCTGCAGCTCTCCCTCGTGATGAGGAACGCCCGCGACCTCTACCTCTCCGCCAAGCTGGAGGAAGAGGACGAGATGGGCGGAGGAAGCGTGGAAAATTTTCCTGGCCGGCAGCCGCATGTAGACCTACAAGGGACGGCGCCCAGCCCGCAGCATCTGGAGGGTCCTCCGGCAATCCTCTTTCCCTCGGCCCAACAGGAGGCGCCTCCACCCACGCCACAGCCCTGCGGCAGCCTGGATCCGGAACCTATGGAAACCCAGGAGGAGCCCGGCAGCAGCTTGCCCGCGCATTCCTTGACCCAGACGGCTTGGAGCCGGGGCGCTTCGGGGCCTCTGCTCGTCAGCAGGAAGCCGAGCCGCAAGCGCCGCAGCAGCAGCCTCGGCAAGATTGGCGCCGCCGAAGCCGGCCTGGTGCCTAGCAAGAAGGCGAAGTTGGCGGAGGAGGAAGGCGAGCGGCAGCCCCAGAGACAAGAAGGGCCCTTTCCGAGTTTAGCCCGAATCCTGCAGGACCGGTTCTCGAGCTTGATCCTCCAGCCTCCGCCGGCCAAAGGCGCCGAGGAGCCCAAAGCGAACTGCAGACAAGGCGACGGCGTGCTGAGCATAATGGTGAGGGCCGTGGTAGCCTTTTAAAGCGCCCCCGCCGGGGACTCGTAGCTGAAAACTTCTCCCGGCGGAGAAGCGGAGCCTGCGGAAGCCCCTCTCTGGGCAGAGGAGCTCAGTACCGCCTGTCTCCTCGGTGGCGGGACTTTGGCGGTTAGGACGGCGGGAGGCTAATGGTGGCGCGGGGAGCCCGAGTGAGGCCTTTCCGCCCCCCAGCCCTCCCTCCCCCTGCGAGTTTAGGCGAGAGACGCTCTGGTGACTCGGGAAGAAGGCGAGACAAAAGGCCGAGCGACGGCTGGCCGCGCGGAGGGCGCTCCCTGGAACTGGGGCGCGATGGCTGAGCGCCGAAAGAGGAACTGGTCACGCCGGCGCGAACGTCGCTGTTCCTGGAAGAGGCTGAGAACTTGGGGTGTAGGGGTGGGTGGGGAATGAAGTCGATTCCGAGAAAACGGGGAAAGAAAAACCCGTCAGGCCTTTCAAATCCTGATCTGGGTGGAAAGCAACCACTATCTGCTGCGTGCACTTTTTTTTTTTTTTCTTTTCAACTTTTGGTGCTAGTTCGAGAATAACGCTGCGTTTATTTTCGAGAACGCTTTGCGTTAACTTAAATTGCCAGTTCTGGGTTGAGGATTCTCCCTCTTTTCTGAAAGAGGCTTCCTTAGCAGCCGAGGCTTATTCCCTCAAGGGTTAAACAGCCCTGCTGAGAGCTTTTGAAGAAGAGCAGCTTTTGTCAGCTCCACTCCTTAGATATTGGGGGGGAGGGGGGGAAACTACCCAGCATTCTTTTGCTCAGGGCCATCCCTTTTTTTCCCCCTTATCTACTAATTAAGGATGATCGAGTGGCCTGTTTCTTTGTGCCAGAAATGCTCTCTTAAACCTGATTAGTCTTGCCAAAGCAGCAGGAAGGAGAGGAGGGGGAAAACGGACCAGTCATACTAGTATGACACACATCTCATATGATGAGCATTTTTTGCATTACTCTGGGTCCAGGAGTGCAGGGGATTTCCTGTTCATGTTGCCTTAGCAGTATATGTGAGTGTGTGTGTGTTTGTGGCTGCTGTGTTTTTTTAAGGTGTGGGTGGAGCTCGTGATCAGAGGGAGAGGAAGATGATTGGCATTTTTTGTAAGATGTCATCTCAAACTTGGTGGTTTTCCTAGGTGACTGGCACTGTTGACTTGTTTGGGACAGTGATGAGGAATAATGTTGTGATATTCATAAAACATGTTTTTCCTTGTTATCCAGCTTGGATTATTTCATACCTAAAAAGGAGCAGTGAAATCTGTACTGTACTATGATCCTTATACTGAAGTGTTTGTAACGTTTTTTTCTTAAAACAAAAATCAAGTGATTCTGTGGAATTCCATACCACGTTTTCTTTTGTTCAAGAACTGCTGCTTTGTTTGCACAAGTTTTGAAGCAGTTCCTATTGTACCAGAGTTAATGTGTTATGAGGTATATATGTGTGTGCAATCTAGCTGTACAGTTTGGAACATAAAATGTTACGTGTTCCTGAAGTGCTAGTTTCATAAAACTAGCTGTAGATTGTTCACTGTTATGGTACTTCGTTATGTTACATGTATGTATCTTACATTTTTCTTTTGCCTTGAAGAGGGCAAAAAAGCCCAAGCTTTTATTTCTTACCGTTCATGGTATTTAATATTTTGATTAGTAAAATAAATAAAAAAATAAAAAAAATCAAGTATTTCATTTTTCTAAAAAAATTACCACCATGCAGGGTTATAATAGAGCAAGATGCAGGAGGGGAAATTGTAAGCTTTACCATGAAATAGACACAATCTCATGCTACTAAAAAGCACAAAAATATAGGCAATAAAATGCAATTGAAATTAATAGAATTGCAAATCCCCAAAGCAAAATACGTTTTAACCTCTCAGAAGCACATATAAAAACATTTCAGGTCCACCTGCAAGTTGGTTAGTTTAATGCTTAAAGTAGAACATACTGGATCAATTTTTCTAAAAAGGTCAGTTTAGAAATAATGGTTTCCAAGAAGGAAAATTCCTACACAGGCTTTTAAAACAGACGGAATTGCATTTTGCATCCCTCCATCAGGTAGCCCAGGTTGCATAACTGTACCTACCCTAGTTTCAGGGTGACTGACAGCATGGGAAAATTATATTTGGAGCTCCAGGAACTGAAGCTTGTAAACTTGTTTATGATGAACAAAAATAACTTTTCCGTAAATATGGGCCAGCTGGACAGGATTGGCAGACAAGACCTTGGATGAGCTTTACAAAATATTTGCAAGTTGCAATATCTTGATGTAATCTCCATAGCAGCATGTGTCAACCCTTTCATAAATGATTTAGTGGTCCAACCCAGGTTGCCAGTTGGCTCCCATGGGCCTTGAACGTACTGCAAACAACCAGGAAAATCTTTTCCTTCAATGAGAACCTCCATAAACAGCATAGCTTACATGGTCCAGCCAGGTGATTGCTGGATTTTTATCAGCAAGATGCTTGCTAGCCTGATAGTTCAGTAAGAAGACCTGGAACAAGAAATAACTATTTAGATACAGTGAATTTAGCCGGTTTAATACTAAGCCTGCTACAAGTGAGTTTCATGCTATACTTGCAAACCACAAATCAAGTGTTTAGTATTTAATAAATGCAATCGTTCCCGTTTAGATTTTAAAGCATTTTCCTCTGGATTCTCTGGTTTGAGTGGATATGTCATGAAATAGCTGAGCAAGCAGGTGAGGTGAGATTAATGATGATGGGGCCCCAAGGGCTAAAGGAACTCTGCTGTGATTCAGTGCTCAGGAATTTACTCCCTGTAATCTGAGCTGCTTCCAGTTGAGAGACCACAACCTGGTAATTTTCCTCCATAACAATCTGGTGATTGTCCTTAGCCTATAGAATTAATTCCTCGGAAGCTTGAGGTTTCTGAAATGCAAATGAGTGATACAAAGTAGTTTAGTTCCTTTGGTTACTTTTTTTCTTTTCTTTTGGTGAATTAGAGATTGCCAGAGGCTGGACGCAAGAATTTCAAGTCAAATTTTTATGGATGCTCAAACATTTCTACTTCAGAAATCCTGTATGACCAAGTTCCTCCCACTGCACACAATTCCCAGTACACAGAAAACTATGATTGGGCTCAAGCATTCTACTAAACCAGATTAAATAAGCCATAATTGGCTGAGATCGCAGAAGGGGTTAACAAAATTATGGTTTAGTACAATGTGTCATTTCTTCTATAGGTTAGTAAGAGGGAGAGATTTCAAGTTAAGACCAACTCTACATCTTCCCACAAAAGCTGCCACGCCTGTTGGTGAGTCAGTCCAAAAGTCACTCTCTGTCAAAGCTTGGCTGGGCACAAAAACAAGTGGTTTGGCATTAGTAAGATGATGGACTATGACCTACTTTTGTAAGTGCTAAGCATAGAATGCATACATAAAAACAAGCTGCAAACCTGTGGCCTTCCAGATGTTGAAACTGCAGCTTTTGGCATCCTTTTACCATTGGTCATGCTACCTGAGATTCCTGGATGTTGCAATGATAACAAAGTTTCCACACCTTTGTTTATTTAGTTTGACGCTTACCATTCATCTTCAGTCTACAGGCTTTGCTTTTTCTCTCTTGCCCCCACCTCCACCCCCACTTAAGATGCGGAACATAACCTAGGAAGTCTGACTAGGATCAAAACCATGATTATATGCATCGATCTCTGCTATTTCTGTTACTCTTAGTCAAAGATGCTTATAGAAGACCTTACATTCTCCCATATTGTTACTCTGAGCTACACATACAAGTAGGGTATAAATTAAGACAGGAAAACAAGCAACTTTCTTCAGCCAGATGCCTTCGTCTGCTGGACTATAGTTCTTATTAAACTAATAGCATAGAAATTTAACATAGTAAAAGACACTTTGAAGAATATTGTCCTATAATTAAGGATTTGAATTCACGCACCTCTTTCTCTTGAACAACACAAGGTAGGTAATTGAAAAAAGAATTGAGAAGCAAAGCACAGCATCTGGTTTAAAGATTATTATTATTTTTTATTTGATTTGCCAATTGTTTACAAGATAATAAGTATAAGTGTATACATAGTTGTGAATACATGAAATGGGTACATATAAGAAAAATAAAAGAATAAGAGAAACAATAGGACAGGGACGGTAGGCACGATGGTGCGCTTATGCACGCCCCCTACAGACCTCTTAGGAAAGGGGTGAGGTCAATAGTAGACAGTCTAAGGTTAAAGTTTTTGGGGTTTGGGGAAGAGACTATAGAGTCGGGTAGAGTATTCCAGACATTGACCACTCTATTGCTGAAGTCGTATTTCCTGCAATCAAGTTTGGTGCGGTTTACTTTGAGTTTGTATCTATTGTGTGCTCTTGTGTTGTTATGGTTGAAGCTGAAGTATTCATTGACAGGTAGGACATTGTAATGTATGATTTTATATACCATGCTTAAGTCAGACCGAAGACGGCGTAATTCAAGGTTTTCTAGTTTTAGAATTTCAAGTCTGGTGGCATAAGGTATTCTACAACGAGTAGAAGAGTGGAGAAATCTTCTTGTGAAATATTTCTGGACTTTCTCAATTGTGCTAATATCAGATACGTAATGAGGGTTCCAGACTGATGAACTGTATTCGAGTATTGGTCTAGCAAATGTTTTGTATGCTCTGGTTAGTAGTGTGATATTACCAGAGAAAAAACTTCGTAGGATTAGGTTAACAACTCTTAATGCCTTTTTGGCTATGTAGTTGCAGTGGGCTCTAGCACTTAGATCATTAGAGGTGAGTATTCCAAGGTCCTTTACAGAGCTTGGGTCATCAACAAGATCTTGACTATTCAGCTTGTATTTTATTTTCTGATTTTTTTTGCCAATATGTAAGACAGAGCATTTATTTGTTGAGATTTGAAGTTGCCATTTGTTTGACCATTCAGATACATAGTCGAGATCTTTTTGTAAGGTAGCAGTATTGTCTGTGGTATTGAACAGCTTTACATCATCAGCGAAGAGAACGCAATTGCTCTTAATATGATCACAGAGGTCGTTTATGTAGAGTATGAAGAGAGTTGGTCCTAGAACACTGCCCTGGGGGACACCACTATTGACAGGTACTGGATTTGATAGAACGCTCCCGATTTTGACCATTTGTTGTCTGTTTGACAGGAATGCTTCTATCCAGTTATTCAGTTGTCCAGAGATACCATAGGATTTTATTTTTAGGAGTAGTTTGTCGTGTACCACTGAATCAAAGGCTTTACAGAAATCTATGTAGATTGCGTCAATTGCTTTGCCCTGGTCGAGTTGTGTCGTCCATATGTTTTTGCAGTGTAAGAGTTGCAGATTACAGGATAGTTTTTTTCTGAAACCAAATTGTTTATTGGAGAGTAGGTTGTTTGACTCTAAGTGGAGGATGATGGATTGGTTAATAATTGATTCCATGACTTTACAGGTGACGCAGCATAAG